TCCTCGACTCTGTCTTTTGATTTCTCTGGGCGGGAACGAAATATATTAGAAGGTGTTACTGGTAGAAGCGTTGTCAAACACTGAATACCTGTGACATCATCATTGGTGAGCCCGACGTGATCTGGTACACCTAATTGCAACTGTGAGTCTGTTCCTTTTTGGGATTTTTATATATCATTGCCTTATTTTTTTATTTTTTTAAACATTGTGATTTTTTTTCGTGTTTTTTCCTGGATATATATATTTCCCCCTCGTTCATTATCGTACTTCATACTTCGTCATGACTGAACAGACACCTAAAGTACTCAAGCTTAAGACTTTGTCCCCGCCTTCGTTTCAACTGATGCCTTTCTGGCCCGACAACATCGAAGCCTGGTTTTGCTACGCAGAAGCCGACTTCTCCGAGCACGGCGTGATCGACACACGTGCACAATTCCTCGCAGTAGTCAAGGCACTACCGCGCGAATTCAACAGGTACGTAACACCTAGTATGTTTACTAGTGATGTTTCCGATCCTTACGAAATCTTAAAACGCTCGATTCTTAAACGAGGAGACCTAACCGATCGACAAAGGTTAGATCAACTCTTCAACAATATCGACCTGCAACACGGTTCTGCGACAGACATGTTGCAACGGATGAGAGAGGTAATAGGCCCAAGAACTTTCGACGAAGGCCTATTCAAACAACTCTTCTTGTCAAAACTTCCCCAACAGGTGCAAGCAGTTCTGGTCTCGTTCCAGAACAACGCCTTAGACGAGCTAGCTGCATCTGCCGACCGCATTTTAGAAATTACGAAATCTACTACCGAGGTATTTTCAGTCAAAGAAAAACCTCAAACGACTCAGAATGATATAAACGACTTATGTCACACACTCACGCGTTATCTTAGTCTTCGTAACGACCGTAAGAGATCGCGCACACCACGTAGAAGCATTTCTCGTAAGCGATCTGTCTCTAGACCACGAGAGACAGATAACCCTGACTGGTGCTGGTATCATAACCAGTATGGAAAGCTTTCCAGAAATTGCAGAAAACCCTGCAATTTTCCCAACACGAAACCGACTGATTCGAAAAACAATTCGGGAAACTTCCAAGCCGGCACGCGTTAACGGCAACCGTAGCCGGCGAACAAAGCCGTCTGTTATTCGTCACAGATGTGACAACGAGAGTTCGTTACCTCGTCGACACTGGCGCAGAAGTTAGCGTTCTCCCAGCAAATCCTAACGACCGACTACACGAATCGACCCTAAACTTACAGGCGGCAAACGGAAAACCGATCGCTACGTATGGCAAAAGGTACGTTTACCTTAACGTGGGTTTACGCAAACCCATCCACTGGATTTTCGTTGTTGCAGATGTTTCTATGCCAATCATTGGTATGGACCTTCTACAACACCACAATCTGATCATCGACACTCGCAAACGGAGGCTAGTAGACGGAAACACTAATTTGTCCGTTTGCGTAACTTCTTTTACTGGTTGTAGAGTATCCCCAGTCACAGTTAAACATATGATAGACCCACTCTATCAACCACTACTCGATAAGTACCCTGACATACAACAAACTCAAACGAAACTACCGTGTGTAACCAGCAAAGTTACACATCACATCATGACTACAGGACCACCTGTATTTTCTAAAGCACGACGACTAGCTCCTGAAAAGCTAAGGTTAGCGAAAAACGAATTCGATCACATGATGGACTTAGGAATCATACGACCGTCAAGTAGCCCATATGCATCTCCGTTGCACATGGTCCCTAAAAAGGACAGCAACGATTGGCGTCCAACTGGTGACTATCGGCGATTGAACGCGAAAACCATTCCCGATCGTTACCCGTTGCCTCACATTCACGATTTGACAGCTACCTTGAAAGGTACAACTGTCTTTTCGAAAATCGACTTGGTTAAAGCGTATAACCAAATCCCTATGGCTACTGACGACATACCGAAAACGGCTATCATAACTCCCTTCGGACTCTATGAATTTTTGCGAATGCCTTTCGGTCTAAGGAATGCTGCTCAAACATTCCAAAGATTCATAGACGACGTTTTTCGAGGTCTCAACTTCGTACACGCGTATGTTGATGACTGTCTAATCGCAAGTCCGGACAGAGAAACACATCTCAAGCATCTGGATCTTGTTTTCGAACGACTTCAAAAACATGGCATAACTGTAAACGTTCAGAAATGCCAATTCGGAACCGACTCGTTAGACTTCCTAGGACACACTATCGATGCTCAAGGCATTCGACCTCTTAGGACCAAAGTGGCGGCCATTCTGGATTACCCAGAACCGACCACCGTCAAGCAATTGCGCACGTTTAACGGCCTGGTAAGTTTCTATAGACGTTTCATACCCAAATGCGCATTACTTATGAAACCTCTGACCGACCAACTTCGTGGAAATGCGAAATCCATTAATTTGGACGACACCGCACGAAAAGCATTCTCCACAGTTAAGGAACTGATTGCTAAAGCAACAATGCTCGCACATCAGGACACCCGAGCACCCATTAGCATCGCAGTAGACGCATCCGACTCAGCAATCGGAGGAGTCTTACAACAATGGGTTAACAACTCCTGGCAACCCTTGGCATTTTTCTCTAGAAGGTTGCTAGACACCGAATCGAGGTACAGCACATTCGGTAGGGAACTCCTAGCTATGTATTGTGCTGTACGGCATTTCCAACACTACATCGAAGGTCGTGAATTCACTCTTTTCACGGACCATAAACCGCTCACTTTCTCGTTAAGCTCTCCTTCTGACAAGTACTCTCCACGTGAGTCTCGACAACTGGACTACATTTCGCAGTTTACTTCAGATATTCAACACATCTCTGGAGCAAACAATGTAGTTGCAGACGCTTTATCTCGTATAACTTCCTTGAACAGTTTCCAAGGAATCGACCTTCTTAAACTCGCCGAGCTTCAAAAAGAAGACAGTGATCTTCAGCACGAGTTATCGTCCACAACACTTAAACTACGCATCAAACAGATGGGAACAGGTAAGGAAACCTTACTTTGTGACACATCTACAGGTAGGGATCGCCCAATCGTGCCGAAACATTATCGACGCAATGTCTTCAACACATTGCACAAACTTTCGCATCCAGGTGTTCGTGCAACCATCAAGCTTATAGCAGAAAGGTTTTGCTGGCCTGGAATGAATAAAGACGTGAGGGAGTGGGCACGCTCCTGTGTAAGCTGCCAAAAATCTAAGGTTATAAGACACAATAAATGTCCCTTAGGCTCGTTTAAAACTCCCGATGCTCGTTTCGACCATGTTCATTTGGATTTGGTAGGACCTTTACCAGATTCAAATGGATACTCTTATCTCTTAACCTGCGTAGACCGTTTCACTCGATGGCCAGAAGCAGTACCTATCAAGGACATCACTGCTGAAACAGTGGCCCGCACCTTCGTCGAACGATGGGTAACAAACTTCGGCTGCCCTTCAACCATCACTACAGACCGCGGACGTCAATTTGAATCTGATCTTTTCCGTCGTCTGACCACTCTTTTAGGAAGCACTCGCTTCCGAACGACCGCCTACCATCCACAAGCAAACGGGTTGGTAGAACGTTTTCACCGACAACTGAAAGCTTCGCTATCAGCTGCAAACGTTTCACAGTGGACCGACGCTCTTCCACTCGTCTTACTAGGTATCCGCAATGCAGTGAAAGCTGACATTGGATACACTGCGTCTCAACTCGTTTACGGTACGACACTTCGACTTCCAGGAGAATTCGTGGATCCTTCATCCTCTTCAATGAACATGGATCTAACCTCCTACACGAACAGGCTTACAAACGCAATGCGTTCAGTTAAACCTGCTTCCACTCGACCTCAATCAACTGATGTTTTCGTTCAACCTGACTTACGATATAGTACACACGTTTTCGTTCGTCGAGACTCGCATCGACGACCATTCGAATCAGCATACGAAGGACCCTTCAAAGTTCTTCAACGTGAATCTAAGTACTATATAGTCGATAAGAACGGAACCAATGATAGCATCAGCATCGATCGCTTAAAAGCAGCGTATTTAGAAGGAAATCCTATCCACGTCGATTTTCCTTCGGTACAATCGAACGACACGACTCCGACACTTATAATACCTCACCCGACAACCAACACACACGATGATACTTCGACAGTATCCGAAAATAAACTTAAAACGACGCGTTCTGGAAGAAGAGTGAGATTTCCAGAACACTTAAACGACTATTGCACGTAAGGCACTTCTAGAAATTTTATATTATTTTTTTTTTAAAAAAAACAATTTTAACATGCTTATATATTTTTATTTCTATTTAAAAAAAAAACAAAACAAAAAAAAACAATTTTTTTAACGCTATTACGTGTTCATGAGTTTATTTTCCATTTTTTTTCCGCCGACATTGTGCTTTTACGCACATACGAGTGTATTTCGACATGCACTTACATTTTCTTTTTTCTTTTCCAGGACGGCTGGAAAAGAACGATGACGTTTATGAGGATCCGAAATTTTCATTGTACATTTTCTTTTTTTACTATGTTGTACCTCCGTCCCATATAGTAAGGAAAGACGACCAGACGCTGCTAAATTTAGTAAGCTATCAGAAGAGTGTTTACCAACGACAAACTCGTTGGGTTTAAACTTCTGGCTGGCCACGTCTTAGGGTCGTCACTGCCCCACTAGGGGGGGAGTGATCTGTAGCGGTAAATAAATCCCCAAAATAAATAGCACTAAGTTTTCGACATTGGATGCTGACCATATGTTTTAGTGGACTCATCTAGCTGAAGGCGCTCGGTCAGGCATCTGCACCAGATCACGTGTGGTAACGCCGTGCTCAACATCAACCGCAATCGCTAGCCAGATTAGATCAGAGAATTCCGATATATTGGTCATCGCCAAATATACTCTTCCAATCTCCTCGACTCTGTCTTTTGATTTCTCTGGGCGGGAACGAAATATATTAGAAGGTGTTACTGGTAGAAGCGTTGTCAAACACTGAATACCTGTGACATCATCAGTACCTTTCCAGGTAGCTGTCGAATCGTGAATGTGAGGCAACGGGTAACGATCGAGAAAGGGTTTTGCATTCAATAGCCGATAGTCACCAGTTGGATTATCATCGGAAGGAATATTTTCTTTACACTTGTTATAATTATTCAAACGGCTCTATGCTGGAACGCCTGCCAATCCTTATGATTGGACAATAGGTCGGCTGAGACCCGCGCAGCTTGTTTTGGTTTCGATTTCTCTGCTCTGTTGCGTGTATCCCAAATAAATATATCGGTCAAATTCTTGTTCTTCAAGACTTTTGTGATTGTAAGTTGTTATCTTGCGCCAAATACGAATTTGATTTGTTCCCCACGAACTTCGAGTGGTTTTTGTTATGGTTAGATGGGCAGAATTCCCTTTAAAAATATGAATTAAACTTACAGTTAATGTGGTTCCTAACCGAACGATCATCTTATTTTTATTGTTCCGAGTTTTAGACTTCATGGGATTAACTTTTCACTTAATGCGCGCAAAATTCTGTTATTATCACTATATATTTTTGTTGCACACTTATAGGTCCCCGTTTTTCTCATATAATGCGGACCAGGTGAGTATTTACCTTTCATGGTATCATCACTTCTGTTACATTTTTATACATTTCGTTCCAAGGTGTTTAAAATCAACAAGCGATCTGTGCCCATATCAGTGTATTCATATTTGTGAAATTTTCACAATAGTGTATATTTACCTGGATACAAAAAGTTTAAATTATAAAATGCGTCAGATCATTATTTCACGTTGCTGCCGCTGGGACCAAACAAATCTGGTTGTCGGATTGCGAGTGTACATAGACTTTAAATAATACACTTGCTAAATAAATACTTAGGATTTGTATAGCATAATATACAGTTACTAAATATTGTCATTTGAATGCCCGGACCACTTTGAATAATTAAATCTGGTAATGAATATTTTGTCCCAGTGTACATTAGTCTCACAGTTCCTCTTTATTATTTTGTTTCAGAAATCGAGGTCAGAAGAGATCTATTGTATCATCGCTAGGATTGGGTCCAAAATATAGCAGGCATAAAGGTGTTGATCTTAAGTGTTCTGGTTCAAGACGAAATTGTACCAGTACCTTATTTTTGCGGAGTCAAGCGAGAACTCGTTGGTTATCTGAAGTTACAAAAACTCGTGTAGGGGGAAACCTGGGAAACCCAAGAATTCGTAAGCGCGGTAGTCGGGGTCTCTGTGAAATTAGTCGTTTGCACTGTACAGTACACTTGGAGTCCAAAACCTGTAGCTGTTCATCTGATCCTCTAATGCATACTGTGTATGCTACGCGGACAAAAAGTAAAGGTTGTGGTTCATTTTCAGTAAACAACAGTTCAACTCTGAGATCTCGTATAAGCGAAATAAAGGTGGAAGAAGAGTCCAGGTTTAATTTGTCGGAATCCAGTATTGAGGTCGAGCCTAAACTTTACAACAGTAATCCACCCGGTAGGCCATTTAGTAGGGGAGTCAAAAGAGGGCGTCTACGACTCTCTAGAGGTCTTCCTAGGTCTATTTGTGACACCGGAGCTAATCCGACTAGGAAATCAGTAGATTTCATAGGTAACGGGACCGTTGTTCAAAGGTTATTCCCCAAGAAATGTGATTCTCCAGTACATAATGCTTTTGTTATTGACTGTGTAGATCCGCAAAGTACATTAAGGCTCGATATACCAGATGAAAGTAGTTATAGATCTAGTAACAACAAATCAGACGTTAAAAAAGAAATTTCTGCGAATTTATCTTTACCAACGAAACGACGACGTGGGAGACCTCTTAAATTGTGCTCTACAGTAGTTCCTAAAGCCATTGCTCACATAAAATCTGAAAACAAGGAAGTCATCCGGAATGAGATCCAGGAATCAGTCTACTTGCCCCATGATTCATATCACTCATGTCCAGAAATCACTAAAGAACAGGTGTTTCGAAGTATTGGTCTAGTGCGCACATCATGTACAGCTTCACCCTTTCAACTTCGTTTTGGTGCCACTGATGATGTTCTCCAAGAAGTATTAAATGAAGTAAATGAGTATGGTTTTGTAAAGTTGCCTGTCAAACGTATAAGAAAAGGTCGTCAAAAACCTACTACCCCTCCTGGCAAGGTCGATGAAAGTCATTTTGTAATGAGCTTCAATTCTCCTTCTGTTGAAAGAATTTTCGATTCCATTTGCAAAGAAGACAGATTAAATGATGATCTCGCTTCAAAAGATTTATTTCTAGCAATGAGTGGTCTCTTGCGCCCAGGTGTTTGCGAAGTATGGCGCAGACGACGGGAAGATCGAAGTAAGCAATTGAGTCGAAATTTGATGGGTCGTTTACGTCCTAATCCTCGTCCACGACGATACTCTGACATGATATCTCAAAGCAGCCATCATTCCCACATTGATGGTATTTACAATAATGAAAAAACTAGACATCAATCTACACGTTCGACTACTGTGTCAGCAGCAAGGTTAACTGCTGCTAAGAAGCTCATTCGAGCTAAATCACATGTTCAGAGTAGCCTTCAGATTACTCCTATTAGGTCTCAAAGTACTGGATATGTAGGTAAATTATGTTTGGACTCAAGATCTGATCAGTCTGCACGTTGTACTCCCAAAATGAATGTTTCTATACCACCTAGAACTAGTCGCCATCCGGATGTAAGCCACCATATTGATTGGAAGTTTTGTTATGTTTCCTCAAGTAAGCAGAATGAAGTCACAGGTCTCAGTAACAGTCTTCAGCGTCGCCAACGCCAAGCAAGTTTTACTTCAAAATGTCGCATGGAAAATGTTGATAACTTGTCACCTATAAGATCACTCGATAATAGCCCCTATAATCTGGAACAAGGTAGTTTGGAAGATTCTTGTGATATTCGCAGAACAGATATGAGAAACCAAATACAACTAAAATCAGAAAACAGGAATCATCTTCAAATTAGTAGTCCTAACGATGTTGAAAGGTTCAAAAGAAATTATAATAATTCTATACAATTATCTGGTGATCGACGTCTCGAAAGACGTCGCAATAAACGCCGTGCAATCACATTTCAGAGAAAGCGACCGAATGAACGTTTCTTGACTTCCCATAGGCAGGACGATTGGTATTCGGAAAAAACATATTTGCATGATGATTCTGCATCATCTTCAACATCCAAGTCTGGCATAGTAGATGTTTATGGAAGGTCTTTTCGCCAAGCAAAGTGCTACCATCACCGTCCTTCTAAAATTGGGCATTCCAGACGGACAGGATCAAGTTACTGTTGCCATAGTGCTTTAGAATCTCGTCCACCACGAAAGTCAGAGCGTTCATTAAGTTCTCGACGCATCCATACAAGTTCTAAGTTTAGTAGCCACCGATTCGTATTGCCAGAACCCGGTCATAGTCATGCGTCTCGCTATCGCATCCCTCGACGACCAGATAGGATGTGCCAACTCACTCTCCTCGATCGTTTAGTTCTTGGACTAAATTGCAGTGTGTCGCAAAATGATGATGAAATCCATATTAAACAACTTCATGCAGAGGAATTGAATATTCTTACACAACGTATGAGCCGTACAGGTTTTTTTATACAGTCTCTTGCTCTTCGACAAAATGCTAACAGCGATGCTGAATATAACATTGTCCTTACTTTCTCTTCTGAAAACGAAGCAGGTACCAGACGTACACAGTGTCCTCATTCATTGTTCCGCTCAAAGTTAGATTCGCATGACAGAGACTCAATCTGTCACTCTTTGTCTGTCTGCGATCAGAATGCCTGGAAAAAAGTCAAACGTCACAATCGTCCAAGGAGGATTTCTTGTTTAGCCTCACGACATTCCTTATTTTCACACTCATGTCATATAAGTAAGTCCCATCGTTATGAAGACCGAAGTGGTTCTTCGTTACTTGTTGGATATCAAAGTGATTCGGGTTTACTTATTCATCGCTCAACAAATTGTGTACGCGAGTCCCATTCTGAATGTGAGGAGTCTGGAACACACCGGTATAAACACTTTGAAAAATTAAGTGTCAGCAGGAAAATCAGTCATGTTCTGTGTAATGCTGATAGTAAGCTAGGACATTGTTATTCTGTCCTCGGACCCCTTGATAAAGCTTCGCTTCGGCATTTGCAAGTCAACTCGTTTTCTGGCTCGACTAAGATAGAAACTCATCGCTCTTGCCTACCACTCGAATTTAACTATATAACTGGTAATACAGATGTACATAAACGCTCAACGATCTCGTCTCGCGTTTCGTCAGTGAAGGATGACGAACACAATAATGTAACTTCTGAAGAGTCATCGACTATTCATATCAGTAACTCTTCAAATATTAATCCAAGTAATTCTAATCATGGGGCTTCTAAGCGTGAAGCTAGCATTTATATTATTGGTACCGTTCAAAACCTGCCGTTTCGCCGTCATAGTCCGCGTAAAGTTATTCGCAAGGTTTATACTGGTAGTCTCACCATACCGAAAATACTTAATCGCAAAAGAATTCCTGCTGTACCTACTAATTCACTGGGCGGTCCGGGTGTTAGCATGACAGTCACATCTACCAATTCTCTGATGAGTACTTTGGCGACTAATTCTATCGTTAGTGCTGTATCATGTTCGACATCAAGCAGTTCAGTTGGCCTGAACTCATGTGCTGCAACCCTTCTTTTCCATGACGCTCAGTCGGTACCCATTTATTCTGCAGCAACTCAACTCAGACGTTTACAAGCTACTGCAACATCGTTAAGCGTCGTGCAAAATCCTGAATCAACTATTGAGCAGTCAAAAATAAACGTTCCTCCTTTAGCTGTTGTACCTTCAGTTATAACTGATCCACAGACTGTAACCAAAGTAAACATGCAGGATTCCGATATCACAGCTACACTTCATGACACTCTTAATCAACCGGAGGGAAGTACATCAGTTGAAATTATTGATCACGGAAATATGCCTTCAGATTACCTGCCGAGGTCTGTAACTGTCGAACATCTTACCTTTGAAAATCATTGTGAACTGAATGTCTCAAAAGCAAATCTAACTAGTGCTAATTGTCCCATTACTAAAACGCCGGAAATTGAAGTGGATGTGAAAGATTTCGTAAGTGAAGTGTGTTTCATCTGAGATACTCATGCTGACCATGATGTTTCGTAAGATAATTTTATTGCACACTAATAAACTATAGAATATATTTTTCTAAGCATATAACACCATTCAGTTTTTGTTAAACACTTGAGATGATTACTAATGTATTTGTAAGTAAGCCAATCCTTTGGATTATCTGTTTTTTTACCGACTACTACACTAAACAATTACTACTATGTATGGGGGTTGAATATACTATATGTAGTTTACTGAATAGTGTAAACTTCCACATATTCGTTTCGATAATGGTAAAGGTTAGGCATGCAAGGACACTGTATTTATTTATTTATTTTAACACATAGATATTGGTACAAGGAGGCACCAAATACATATGCGCAACACAAATCTCATTTGATATGTGTGAGGGCTGTGATACTGCCCGGGTGCCCAAGCCGAAGCAGGTGGTTTTCTTAGGGAGGCACACCCCGAGCCTTTGACCTAAAGGTCTGATCCACAAGGCAGTGGAGCATCGTAAGGAGATGCAGTCCCATGGAAGCCTGTGACCAACAATTGGTTCATACCCCATTTGTTCCTTCAGGATACTGGAGCCCATGTGCACCATTGGTTTGGAATCAGGGTTTTCCGACTCCCCTAGGTGGACTGACCCTGTCCACTGGCCCGTTTAAAGCGCCAGTCATTCGCTTTTCATCCTCTCATTTTCGTAAACAACACCCTCTCCACGAGAAGGCTGTGAGTAGGACTTCCTTGGCAGAGGCTATATACGCGTGGTCATGTGAGAGCATTCCGAGAGGGATAGCGGACTCTCCCCACTCTCCGCCGTACCAGGCATTTGGGGACAAGGACATTGTGGCGTTATTACCACCGAGTTCGTTGCTAGTTAAAGCTACATGATCTTACCATAAAGTTCCTACAAAGTTTCAGGTTAATTCGGTCAGATAGTATACTACAGTATATAAATGGCACTTAATAATGCACCGAAAACTCGGATGAATGAGCTATTTGATTAATAATTGGTTTAAGGCTAATTGTTGAGACGATTTGTAAGAGCTTGTGTTAGATTACCGTGATTCAAAAAAGGACATTCTGCAACGTATGTTAACTTTGTAGGGCTCTCGTACTTGAAAGATTACCAGCTCGTTACTTTAGCTCCCTCAGTCAGCATCAATTATTATGCGATTTGAAATTTTTTTGGGTAACTTATCTTCATTGGGTAGATGTAGCTCTTCTGTTTACTTCTGTTGTTTTTAGGATTACTAGTCTTATTTCTTCGTTTTTTTTAGTTGTCAGATGTGATTTCTAATGAAACTGGTATAAATGGTGCGAATTCTGTAATTATATCCGGTGCAGATATGTGCCATTCAGGGATCACTCCATACAACGTAGTCAGTGCTGCCAGTTCATATACTTCTGCTGTCGCAAATTCGACCAACGATGAAGAAGCTATAGATGATTCCCAAACACCAGCTACATCGCTTAGTGCAAGTCAACTGCTCAAATTGAAACGTCTTCATGATGAGGTTGGGCGACCAATTCAACGAAGAGACTCTAAATCTCCTCGCTGCATTTCTCATACACCATCACAGTTCCAGTCTCCTATATATCTACCTGCTCTTTCTCAAAATCTGTCACAGGTAAGCATTTTTGTAGATTTATGTCGGTTGTTATTGTCTCGTCTCGTGCAGTAAAATTCATCTTTGGCCCTCATTTCATGTTACTATCCATACACGTATGTTCACGAATGATTTGTGAATCGTTTGCATTCACCTCATGTGCTATCCATCTACCAGATTTAAATTTGTCCCCGCATATATTACTAAACTGTTGAAGTTTGATTCGAAATGCCCTGGTACGTCCGAGAGTGGGGAGAGTCCGCTATCCCTCTCGAAATGCTGTCACATGGCCACACGTATACAGCTTCTGCCGGGGAAGTCCTACTCACTGCCTTCTCGTGGCGGGGGTGTTGTTTACGAAAATGAGAGGATGAAAAGCGAATGACTGGCGCTTTAACTGGATTCCAAATCAATAGTGCACATGGGCTCCAGTATCCTGAAGGAACAAATGGGGTATGAACCAATTGTTGGTCACAGGCTTCCATGGGACTGCATCTCCTTACGATGCTCCACTGCCTTGTGGATCAGACCTTTAGGTCAAAGGCTCGGGGTGTGCCTCCCTAAGAAAACCACCTGCTTCGGCTTGGGCACCCGGGCAGTATCACAGCCCACGCACAAATATAATGATAATGAAAATCATGGTATTTACTGAAAACTCCATTCTCGCTTTGATTTACAGTCAAACAATTCATATTATTATTATTATTATTATTACTATTATTATTATTATTATTATTATTATTATCATTATTATTATTATTATTATTCACTACGTCATTTATCACTCTCTTTTATTCCCACTTTATGTATCCTTATTTTTCGACTTATATAGCAGCTCGCCTATGGTGGAAACTCGGTTCTATCTAAACGTTTTCGAGTCACTGCCTGGTTGAGAATTGTATGCTACCACCAAGTACGAATACTGAAGCAGTTTCTCTGAAACGACGTGCACCATTCAAACTGGCCGCCTTCAACGTTTGCACATTTATGCAGGTCGGACAACAGATAGGGTTGGCTATGTCTTTGGAAAGTCTTAATATCTACGTTTGTTGTCTATCCGACATCAGTATTCAAGACTCTGGTGAAGTACTACAAATTTGCTCTCCATCTGTCACTTCAAAAAGCTTGTTTTACGTGCGTTTATCCGGGGACCCTGTGGCATCTTCGTCTGGTCTTGCTGGCGTTGGTGTCGCACTAAGCGCTAGAGTTGAGGCAACACTAATCGATTGGATCTCCATTAACAGTCGGTTATGTGCTGTTAGATTAGAAAGTTCCATCAAAGTGAGAAGAAATCGGCGTGAGAAACGATGTCTTTTCGTCATCTCCGCCTATGCCCCGACAGATTGCAGCCCGGATGCAATCAAGGATGAATTTTGCCACCAGTTAACTGTTCTTCTCCAGAAAATGCGTTCGACAGGTATTGTAGTACTAGCCGGAGACTTGAATGCTCAGGTCGGGCGTCTAGGCACAGAAGAAAGTCGTTTAGGTGGCCGATGGGGACTTGTTGGTCGCAGGACAGATAACGGGGACCGTCTACTGCAATTGTGCACAGACCACAACCTGTTTCTGGCTAGCACTAACTTTCGGCACAGTCATCGCCGATGTGCCACCTGGCGTCCTCCCTCTGCATCTCAAGCCTGGACTCAGATTGATCACATCGCGATCAGCTACCGCTGGCGTGGTTGTGTACAAGACTGCCGCTCCTTTTGGAGTACCTATCTGGACTCTGACCATGCCTTGGTCTGCGCCAATCTTGCCTTTTCAGTGGACAACGAAGTGACCGCCACCAAAGGATTGATGTTAGCAAGCTGGTTGCAACTTCTGTTGCAAATAAGTATCGAACCGAGCTAGCCTCTAAGCTAGCTACCACTCCACCGAAAAGTATAGATGAGCATTGGTTGCAATTGCATGACGCCATGAAAATGGCGGGAACAGTCAGTTGTGGGTTTGCGAAACGTCCCGCTTTTAAGCACTGGGTTTCTTCAGGTTCCTTACAACTCATTGAAGCCCGTCGGTCTACTCCGGGTGACCGTGAGTTTGACCATAAACGAAGGATGTTACGTAAGAAAATTGGGCAAAGCTTGCGTAAGGACCGAGAAGCCTGGTGGTCGAAGCGTGCTAATGAGCTGGAAGCAGCAGCTGCATCTGGTAACTACCGGAAGCTCTTCCAGCTCATCCGAGCCACTGGCAGCAAGAAACAATCTGCGAGGATGATGGGATGCCAATCACTAACATCCATCGACGTCTTGGACGGTGGGCAGAATTTTTCGAAGGGCAGTTCAACTGGCCTGCTGCTCCGGCAACATCGGTCAGACTGTCCTGCCCTCCATGGCCGGTGACGACTGATCCACCAAACGAGGAGGAAGTCCGCAAGGAACTCCAACTCTTGAAGCGTTACAAATCACCTGGCCCAGATGACTTACCTCCGGCTCTTTTTAAAGATGGTGGTGACTTTTTGACTAAGGAATTGACGACGTTGTTTACAAAGGTTTGGGAACTAGAGAGTGTACCAACGTCGTGGAATGAGTCGATAGTTGTCCCTATCTTTAAAAAGGGTTCACGTCGTTCCTGCAACAACTATCGGGGGATAAGTCTACTTCCGATTGCGTCCAAGCTATTGGCTTCCATCATACTTCGTAGGTTGTTCAAAACCCGAGAAAGATTGACTCGCGAGGAGCAGGCTGGGTTTCGTTCTGGTCGAGGATGTATTGATCATATCTTCACCCTCCGCCAAATGTTAGAACATCGCCATACTTATCAAAGGCCAACAATCGTAGTGTTTCTTGACATCAGGGCTGCCTTCGATTCGTTGGACAGGACTGTTCTCTGGGATTGTCTGTTGAAGAAGGGTGTGCCTGAGAAGTTTATTAACATCCTAAAAGCCCTATATAAAAACACCTCAGGCAGAGTAAGGGCATACAACCACCTCTCTCCATTGTTCCATTCGAGCAGTGGGGTTAGGCAGGGTTGCCAAATCTCACCATTCCTCTTCAACTTTGCCATCGATGACATTCTGGAAACAGCTCTGATGAATGTATGTAATGGTGGTGTGGATCTGTTGCCTGGAGAAAGACTTCTCGACCTTGAGTATGCGGACGATATTGTCTTACTGTGCGATAATGCCCAAGGCATGCAATCCGCACTTAATCAGTTGGCAATCAGTGTCCGTAGGTATGGTATGTGCTTTGCACCTTCGAAGTGCAAAGTACTTCTACAAGACTGGCAGGATTCCAGTCCTGTACTCACCCTGGATGGTGAGCAGATAGACATAGTCGAGAAGTTCGTGTATCTGGGTAGCTGCATAAGTGCTGGTGGTGGCGTGAGTGATGAGATCAATGCACGTATAGTGAAAGCCAGAGCGGCTTATGCCAATCTGGGCCACCTTTGGCGCCTTCGTGATGTTAGTCTGGCTGTAAAAGGTCGGATCTACAACGCGTCGGTGAGAGCAGTTTTGTTCTATATTTGTGAAACCTGGCCTGTCCGAGTTGAGGACGTTAGACGACTCTCTGTGTTCGATCATCGCTGTCTCCGAAGGATTACTGACATTCAGTGGCAACACCATGTCAGTAATGTAGAGGTTCGGCATCGTGTGTTCGGGCACAGAGATGATAATTCAATTGGTGTTACCATCTTGAAACACCGACTTCGGTGGCTTGGATCTGCTCTACGAATGTCGTCCCAGAGAATTCCATGTCGTGCACTACTTGCCGACTCTGGGACTGGTTGGAAAAAGCGGAGAGGTGGTCAGTATATGACATGGCGTGTCGGGGTAAGACTCCCTGGTTGGGGTCCGAGAGATGGTGCTACACAGTGGCTAGAGACGCTATGAGATATAGCTAAGAATAGAAGCCAGTGGCGAAACTACTGTAACCTTCTTTTACTTCATAAAAATGCTTGTATCTTCCCTAACTGAAAGAATTCTTCTGTTTGTACCTTTCCGTTTCCCTCATTATTATTATTATTATTATTATTATTATTATTATTATTATTATTGTTATTATTATTATTATTACACTACCTTGCACTAATCTGTTCTTTTCTTTTTCTTAAACACACCTCACCTTCTTTTTTCTCTTCTCATTGTCATTGTTTTGTGTGGCGCATATATATCTGGTGCCCCCTTGTACCAATATTTATGTGTTCAAAGAAATAGATAAATTAAACGTCAATCGACCCCCAAATTGTAGATTATGTACTTGTAGTCAGTACAGATTATTGTATTAAACCTTTTATTTATTTATTTATTTAAACACAAACATTCTTACAAGGAAGCACCAAATGTATATGCACTACACCTCGTTATTCGATTTGTGTGGGGGCTGGAATACTGCTTGGGCGCTCAAACGAAAGCGAGGGGCAACCTCCCCGGACCCTCGACCTAGAAGTCTAATCCACAAAGCAGTGGAGCTACGTTAGGTCAGTCAGTCAGTCAGCTACAACGTGGGACTAGGCACATATATGCATCGGTCCAGGTTGCCATACCGCATCAGCACAACAAGATGAACACCGGATTCATAGGAGTGGTTAGGTCAAAGGTAGTAATACGTAAGAGAAAGATTGCATATAGAGATACAGTACAAGAAGAAAGAATTGGTTCGTAGAAAGAAAGATATGGAGCAATTTTAATCTCTTAGTTTAAGGGAAGATAGAGAGTGTATACACCGACGCCATAGTGATCGATTCTGAGCCATGTCACCAGAAGTCTCCAACCATTGGTTACGATATTCACGCGGACCCCAACCAAGTAGTCTGCATCTACCAACATGGCTCAGACTAGAAGTTAGTGACTTCAAGCACTGATGCCACGTTTTGGTTTGGCCGCCCCTAACTTTCTTCCAACCATCTCCAATACCGGATAGCATTGCACGTCGTGGTAATCGGTGTTCAGGCATACGTAACACATGGCCCAACCATCTCAGTCGATGAAGATTCATAACCTCATCAACTGATTTACCATCATTCTCTAATACCCTGCGTCTGACCTCACTATTACTTACTCGGTGATCCCAGCAGATGCCAGCAATATTTCTAAGGTATCTGTGGTCAAATACTAATAGCTTACGAGTGTCTTCTACTCTTAATGGCCACGTTTCGCAGCCGTAAAGTAAAATATAACGAACTTCAGTGCAGTATACTCATCCGCTAATTGATAGACGGATATCTCGCCTTTGCCATAAGTGACGTAAGTTGGCAAAAGCCAAGCGAGCTTTTCGAATCCGTGCTGAGATTTCGTCAGACACCAACCCATTAGGGCTGATCAGACTTCCAAGATAAGTGAAGTTGTCAACGCGTTCGACTACTTCACTCCCTATCCTTAGTTCAGGTGTTGATGCAGACCAGTCCTGAAGCAACAACTTGCATTTAGAGGGAGAGATGCGCATTCCAAACATTCTGCCATTGTTGCTTAGTGCTACCAAAAGACTCTGCATTCTATCAGCGTCTTCACCAAACAGGACTATGTCATCCGCGTATTCTAAGTTGATAAGTGGACCTCCTGGAAGGAGATCAATACCCGAGAATTCAGTCGACGAGAGTGTTATTTCCATCAATAGGTCTATGATAAAGTTAAACAAAAATGGGGGAAGTGGACAGCCTTGACGGACACCACTTGAGGTTGCAAAAGCAGATGACAGTTCGCCATAAGCTCTGACTGGACTGGTAGTATTCGAGTAAAGAGCCTTCACAAGGTTTATGTACTTCTGAGGTACGCCTTCCAATGACAGACACTGCCACAGAATCTCGCGGTCTACCGAGTCAAATGCTGCTTTTAAGTCGAGAAAGACCACCATTGTCGAACGCCGATAAGTATGCCTATGTTCTGGAACCTGACGAATGGTGAATATGTGGTTGATGCAGCCACGACCAGGTCTAAAGCCAGCTTGGTTCTCTCGTGTTTGCAGTTCACGAGTCTTAGTTAAGCATCTGATAATTATCGAGGCTAGTATTTTAGATATTATATTAGTTAGACTAATCCCTCTACGGTTGTCACAGGATGATTTTGACGATAAGTGATTGTGACCAGTTAGATGGAATAACGTCTAACTCCCAGATTTTAGCTAAAATATTAGTCAACCTAATCGCTAAAATTAGACCACCATCCTTAAAGACCTCTGGAGGCAATCCATCTGGACCAGCTGCCCTTCCTGGTTTCAGATTAACCGTAGCCTTTTGAACTTCAGCAAGAGTTGGGGGACCTACTTCAATGTTCCATTCACACTGTCTGGGAATGGAGGGTAGTTGTAGAGTAGCTGAAGGCCAGCTGAACTGTTCTCTGAAATGTTCCGCCCATCGTTCTAAACGCCTGGACTGGGAGCAGATGAGTGTATCGTCTTTTTCCGATCTAATCTCGTTGGCTCTCCGTTTTGCCGAGGTGAGGTCAAGTGAATGACCACACTGGAATCCTGTATGCGTGTTTCGGAGACACAGCATACATCAATGGAAAGAGACTCTAGGGTTTTAGCCAAGGAAGCCTGCTGACCGATTTGACATAGAGTGCGTACGTTGAAAGCTCCAATGTGTAGTTTGGAGCGAGGTTTCAGTAGACCTGGGACAGAGTTTTGAGCACTAGAATCGTTGGCTATGGTGACACTTGAGGAGGAAGCCGAAGGAGGAAGTTTAGGGTTGAAAGTCGATGTAGGAGGAATAATAGGAATTGAAGAGGAAGGTTGATTATGAATACAATGGTCTTGGGTGGTGTTAGGGGTATGAGGGCGGTTATCACTTCCCGGTTGCCCACACCGTGGAAGGGTTCTTCTGGAGGTACCTGAAAAGGAAATTGGATTAGAGGCGGTCTCAGTGACCTGAGAGCGTGACCGCAGTGCCCAAGGGACAACTGCTTGAGGCCGGTCGCGCACGGCCTTTTCGTGGGAGGTTTTTGACGTGTTAGCTCTGTTCTTTAAAGGGCCTTACCGCCGGAGACGGAAATCCGTGAGGTAAGGTGAGGTGCGCATTTTTAGGGTCGACCTTTTCTAACCCCACCCCTCCTTTTGGGAAGGCAGCATCGCTGTCATGCTGGTTGTCTGAAGGAAACACCTTACTGCTGTCACACCTCTGTACAGTCAGCAGTACGACTTCGCCTTCGGACATTGGGCTTGTTGGTTTTAGTCTTACCGCTCTTCAACCGACCTGTCTGACATGGTAGGACCTTGAGGAACGGTTGTTCCAACCAGTACAGCTCGGTTGCTTCATCACGATAGGCAAGCCCGACCACCATGTCAAGGTAGCAACAACGGTCGGGTTACGTTAGGAGATGTGATCCCTTGGTAGACGAGGCCCAACGATTGGTTTATGCATCATTTGTTCCTTTGGAATCCTGGAACCCTTATGCACCAACTCCTCTAGGTGGATCCTCCATATCCACCAACCCGGATATTCCCTTTTTGTCCTCTCAATTTCGTAAACAGCACTCTCACCACGAGAACGCAGTCATCAGGACTTTCTGGCATTGCCTGTCAATGTTAATATCTATCATCTGCAATTTTTTTGTGTTCTAAAAGGAACTCATCCTTTCCTCCAGTTGGTGTACGTCCAGTATGGATTATGTTTCGTAAATTGGTTTTTAATTAATAGTAACTCTCGAACGAATGGTTGCTAAACACAGATATTATAATATCAGACAACGTAAGTCGTAATTACCGTAAGATGTTTAATAAATCCACAAGAAAAGCTTCAACAAAGTTATCAATACACCCATTTTTTAATGCAAAACCATTCTCATTTCATGTGAATAAAGTATAACACATGGGTGTATGGTGTTCTTAATTTGAATCTCTTACTATAACTTTATTTGTGCATTTACAATCTTTGATACTTCAAATACTAGAAGATGGATCTCAATTTTACCATTTGAGCGAATTTGTGTGAATGATAGTGGTGACCCGAAGTATTCGGTGGGCATTTTCTGAGTTTTTGGTGTCATTCAGTGTAATAAATAATATTATACTAGGATGAAATACGTTGGTGAATTGGGTGGAAGTCTTTGGATTTCGTATTCTGGTTTTCGCTCAGTAATATGTTAACTAAATGAAACGCCTTATGTGTTTTGAGGAATATGCAGAAGCAAAATTTCATGTTTTACTGGTTCAAAATTAAATTGGAATCGAAATCCGGCGAAAGTATATTGAGTTTTTTGTTATATCCAGAATTTTAATATTCATACGTTCATTGCTTCGGTTTGGGAACCCGGGAAGTATCACAGCCCACTTGCTTTATCTGGCGCATATGCATTTAGTGCCCCTTTGTACCAATATTTGTGTTAAACGTGATAAATATCACCAATTCTAACTACCTAACATCCCGATACGAGCTCTTGTCACAGGTGACATAAAGACCTTTTAGATTTACATTATGTAGTTACCACTGTATATAAGTGCTCAAATGAATATTGGTAGTTGTACTGGTTAAGCTTTTCAATGCCTTGTTAAAGACTGTCTTTATTACTCTATGCTTCTTATGATCAATTAAAATAGCTGTTATCAAATCTTACTGGGTCTTCTAGAAAGGTGCGTCCTTTCGTTCATTTGCTTCTCAGTTTGTTGGTTGTTTACAACTTATAACTGTTATTTATCGGTTTATTCAGTTTTTACTGCATTTTAAAGTCGGAAAAATTATGATTTTTTCAGCCACTCGAATCAGAAGCAATTGTTACACAGTGCCTACAAACTTCCCAGCTTCAACAATCTCACCAGTGCATTCAATACACCTCGTCAGTATTGTCAAACACCACTGAGCTTAACTCCGAATTTCGACCATTCCCCTTGCATTTAAATCAAAACCCTACTCATAAAAGTAACCCAAAACTTGAAATAGATGATGATGACGATGATGATATGGAAGATTTCGAGCTCAAAAACGTTACGAAAATGTATGAACCTTCTTCTGTTACTTCATTCCAGTCTTCTGTACCGTCCCAAAAGTTAACGTCAAGTCATTTTTTCGACAATAGCGCTCTGTCTACTGTACCGACAACTATATCTTCAGAACTAGAAGGTCTTCCTTTTATGAGTGCTCACTACCCTACAGTAATGAGAGCATCTTGCGTAAATTGGCCAATTGGACGTCCTACTTTTAATCCCACGCTCACAGGCAACTTAAGATCGCCATCACAATGTTTTAATCCTTTAGCACCTGCTACGGTTCGTTGTTTTACGGAAGCAGACCAAAATACAGGTATGTTGAGTAATTAGTAGATTAGTAGTATAATACTACTTTACTCAATAATGATTATACGAATAACAAAAGGCTACTTTATTCGATCACTAAATTTAAGAGATTGGAGTCTGCAGTTGATTCAGTACTTAAGAAGTCTAAGTTTTGTTATTATCCCTGTAGACTGTAATATCTATTCCCAGTTTGACTCCAGATTTAAGTTGATTTCTGGGATATTGGTGCATCTTATATCCATTTTAGTCTGGTGGCATATCTGATTTTTAAATTCATGGTGCAGATGATATCGCACCCCTAAATAACTGGTCCTCAAGTGGCTTATCCCAATGGTTAAGTCACTTGGATTCCTACTAGTAAGTGACACTTTCGAATTCGACTATGATCACCTATGTTTAGGCCATCGGTTAGTGTCATCAACCGTCACACAATTCGACCTAAATTCTAATACGTAAACCTCTATTATATTTAATTTTTCAGGATGTTCACTTCTCACCTTTATTTAGCTTTAATATATCCATCCTTCCGGTGGTATCTTTTTCTGTACCCGGATCTTTAGGCACTCATATTTTACCTGACGGTCCAAGTTGGGACAGGTTAGTCCTACCAAGCAAAAAGGCTTTAAACAAACAAACCAATATTCAGATAAATTGTTGGGAATATTCCCCAATAATATCTTATTTTTAACAGTACAGAATGGCGTGTGTTTAGGCAGATTAGCAGTTTTGTTAAAAATTTTCGAACTACTCAATTCAACTTTCGTTACGTGTATTTTAGTTTATCGTGTGTCATGTATACAGTCTGTCAGTGTACTCTTTTCTGTTACACGACCTAAAATTAATTTATTTGCCCGGATGCCCAGACCGAAGTAGATACGACCTAAAAACGTGACCATTTAAGTGATATAACCTATTAAAGTTATGTATCAAGGGAGCAATGTCGAGGTCGGGAACAGAACACAGTGTAGAAGTGATATATCTAGTGGATTGTTTACTATTTGTTATATCTGGTCGTCGCTGATTGTTGTGTCGGAATCGCTTATACTTGTAAAAACGAGGTACCACTGCAGTTACCACGACACGAACGTAAGAACACAAAGACTGATACAAGTGAAGATGTATTAAGCCCCCAAAACACGATGATGATGACGACAACTCTAGTCAAAAATACACTCATTTATATATTGATTCGTACACTCATTTGGATTAATAATTAGGATGAAATCATATATATGAAAAATACTTCAAGTTATAACAAATCACATAGTGAGTATAGTTCGTATCAATTTTTAATACAAGAATAACGTATGTCATACGGGAAAACAAAACATACTACATTGAGTAATCATCATATCAAATTAAAATAGAATTAATGTTGAATAAAAATCATAATGAGTAAATCTATCTAATTTTGACTTTTCATCCCATTATATCAAGAAGAAACAAATCAATTGGTAATTTTGTGAGCACAACTGTTCCATTACAGACAGTTCATGGTTTGTTATAGTGTACTTAGGAATTAAATGTCTTTTAGGTCAGCTGGAAAATTTTCATGGAGATGTTGAATAAGAACATATTTTTATATAGTATGTGTTGTTCACTGCTACGTAGTTCGTACTTTCGTGTTTCTTAAGTAAAAGGAAAAGCCAGCATCAACGTAGAACTTCGTACGTACGTACATCAGTTCATGTTCCCATACCACATTGGCACAGAGATACAATTGTCGATCCAAATCTCATAGCGGTAGAGGTGGTAAAAGTATAAGCAGTAATCGAAAACATTAGGGTTTAAAGCTGTTATTCAAGGAGTATAATCCAGTGAAATAAATTTGGAAAGAAGAAAGGGACATGAATAGTTCAGGAGATTAGAATTTGGGAGAACACAAAGAGTGGATGCACCTGCGCCATTGCAAACGATTGTGAACCGTGTCTCTAACCATCGGTTGCTATCGCCTTGCGGATCCCAACCAGGTAGTCTACACCTACCAACATGGCTCAGTCCACTTCATGGACTTGTGCCATGTTTCGGTCTGGCCGCCCCTAGCTTCCTTCCAATCTACTCTTATACCACTGAACATCGCACGTCGAGGCAGTCAGTGGTTGGGCATCCGTAACACATGTCCCAGCCATCTCAACTGATGAAGTTTCACTATTTCATCAATTGATTTGCCATCCCTACCCAGTACCCGTTTCCTAGCGACTGCGTTACTTACTCGATGGTCTCAGGACATACGAGCAATGTCTCGAAGACACCTATGATCGAGTACTAGTAACGTACGAATATCCTCTACTCTTACCGGCCATGTTTTACTGCCACAAATTAGGACGGAACGAACTGCTGCGCAGTAAACACGTCCTTTGGTTGATAGACGGATATCTCGCCTACGCCATAAATGACGCAAGTTGGCAAAAGCTAGTCGAGCCCGCTGTGTCCGTGCTGACATTTTGTCACACACCAGAAGGGCTGGTGAGACTTCCAAGATAAGTGAAGCGGTCAACATGCTCAAGTACTTCACTCCCTATCATTAGTTCAGGTGCCTATGTAGCCCAATCCTGATGCAACATTTTGCATTTCGGGAGGGAGAATTACATCTCGAATATGCTTGCATTGTTGCTTATAGTGGTCAGAAGACTTCATTTTGTCAGCGTCTTCAACAAATAGAACTATGTCATTGGTATATTCTAAGTCAAGTAAAAATATATTTTCGTACATATTTAAATGGTTGTAGCTGAAAATTATGAAACTAACTGTATCCCATATGTTGTTTTCACGTCAAATTGATCATTGTTCAAAGATTTGCTTCTATGAAAGGAAAATCGCCCAATCCGACTTGTAGTTAACTTATTACAAATATCCAAACGGCCTGTATAACAGTTAGTCTGATAACATTATCTTCTTACTCAGTTCAGAAAGTGATGTATTTGACTAATTGTACAGGATATATGGTGTGATTCTTTATCTTTAAACGTAAATACTTTTTAACATATTTAACAATTTGATCTGTAGGGTTTATGTAATAAACTAATGAAATGCAGAGTCTTTTAGTAGCACTGAGCAACAATACCAGAATGTTTAGAATGCGTTTATTCCTCTCCAAATACAAGCTGTTGCTTCAGGACTGGCCTGTGTCAACACCTGAAATTAGGATAGGGAGTGAAGTAGTCGAACGCTTTGACAACTTCACTTATCTTGGAAGTCTGATCAGCCCTAATGGGTTGGTGTCCGATGAAATCTCTGCGCGGATCGAAAAGCTCGTTTGACTTTTACCAACATACGTTACATGGAGGAAATTAGATATCCGTCTATCAATTGAAGGACTGCGCAGCAGTTCGTTCTGTTTCACTTTACGGCTGCGAAACGTGGTCTTTAAGAGTAGAAGTTACGGCTAGACTCTAATTTAGGGACGACCTTTGAACGAATCTTAAATGACCTTGACAACTATTAGCCAATCAGAAGACAATTAGTATAAAGTGAAAACATATTATAAGAAACTAATGAATTACAGTGGATATTCATCTTTTACATGATTTAAAAACTTGTTAAGTTTCAGAGGTTCTGAATTCATAATGCATATGGTATAGAAACTCGTCCATAGGGTTAGGGTGGCGAGATTGTAATTTAGGGACGAGCGAATCAGAAGCGTTTGAGCAATTTCAAGATCACGGAGCCAAGTTCAACACGTGATGCTAACATACGATCGGTTTACAACGGATTTTAGAGAAATGGTGTTTATTGAAAAGCTACAACCCTAACCCTATGGACGAGTTTCTATACCATATGGATTATAAATTCAGAACCTCTGTAACTTAACAAGTTTTTAAATCATGTAAAAGAAGAATATCCACTGTAATTCATTACTTTCTTATAATATGTTTTCACTTTATACTAACTGTCTTCTGATTGGCTAATAACTGAGATTGCTCAAACGCTTCTGATTGACTCGTCCCTAAATTAGGGTCTCGCCGAAGTTACTCGTAAGTTACTAGTATTTGATCACAGATGTCTTAAAAATATAGCTCGTATCTGCTGAAACCACTGGGTAAGTAATACTGAGGTTAGACACAGTATTAGGGAATGATGGTAAATCAGTTGATGAGGTTGTGAATCTTCACCGACTGAGATGGGCCACGTGTTGTGTATGCCTGAACACGACGCGCAATGCTGACTGGCCGGGTCTCTTCAGCAGAAGCTCTACTTGGAAATTTCAATGTCATTCGTCGTACGCCAGCTCTTGAGACTCAGTGAAATGTATCGATGGAGAAGCATTTCAATCGACATCATGGGGCACAAAGACGTTTGTTCATGGTGGGTCAAAATTTACTTGTTATAGACTATAGTAGAAAGCATCCTACATGGATAGCTGGTCGGATCTTGCAAAACAAAGGGAATGTGATTTATGAGGTGTCGGTTGGCTGAGAAGTTTTGCTACGCCATGCTAGCCATTCGAAAGCGACTTCGATAGCCAGCAACAAGACTCGATATAGAATACCACTTGACGTTCTTCTAGATACCTTTGAATTCAAAACGCGTGGAACAGACAGGTCAGTTTCTGTGCAAGCAAAGAGTGATACCACTTATTTATTGCCTAGACGATAAACAAATAGAAAGCACCAGCCAGTCGCGTGGTTGCAGCTGGACCCTTACACCAGATCCAAAGAATCTGCTCAAAGGGGATGTGTTAGCAGGAACTGTCATCTACTTTTGCAACCTCAAGTGGTGTCCGTCAAGGCTGTCCGCTTTCTCCATTTTTGTTTAACTTCATCATAGACCTATTGATGGAAATAACACTCTCGTCGACTGAATTCTCGGGTATTGATCTCCTTCCAGGAGGTCCACTTATCGACTTAGAATACGCGGATGACATAGTCCTGTTTGGTGAAGACGCTGATAGAATGCAGAGTCTTTTGGTAGCACTGAGCAACAATGCCAGGATGTTTGGAATGCTCTTCTCTCCCTCTAAATGCAAGTTGTTGCTTCAGGACTGGTCTGCGTCAACACCTGAACTAAGGATAGGGAGTGAAGTA